TTTGGCAATGTGGGCTATTATTTTTTTCCAATATTTTAATTTTTTTTAATTTAAATTCAATTTAGTTAACATATAGTGTATTATAGTTTCAGGGGTAGAATTTAGTGACTCATCAGTTGCATATAACAAGCAGTGTGTAGGTTGTTATTTTTTAAGGTTACTGAGTAATGAGAGTAGAACTAGGAAACTAGGAAAAATTAAAGCACCACAAAGCTCACTATTCTTAATGAGATTCAGTTGTATTGCTTGAATAAACATAATCTGGGTTGCTGAAAACCTTTGATTAACTTCTTATGTTCTGAAAAAATTGATTCTGACAAATTTTACCAGGCTTTACATTGTCTTCATGGGGGGACAAATTTTTGCAGGTCCTTACTGCCCACCCTTTTAACTGACATCATCCTATGCAATTACCCTTTAAATTGGTTAAGAGAAGAAAAAATAAACAAATATGTAATTATGGTCTCTATTATCATTACCAACATAATTACATTTACTGGAGCTGTTAATTTTTTCGTGTGGATTCTAATTAGTATCTGGTGTCACTCTTTTTTTCAGCCTGAAGAACTTCCCTTTGTATTTTTTGTAAGGGATGTCTTCAAGCAATAAATTATCTCCGTTTTTGTTTATCTGGGAATGTCTTAATTTCTCCTACATTTTTGAAGGATAACTTTATCATATATACAATCTTGTTTGACAGTTAATTTTCTTTGTTTATTGAAGTCTAATTAGCATACAATGTTATATTAGTTTCAGGTGTATGACATATTGATTCACCACTATACATTATTTTCTTTCTGCATTTTGACTATGTCATCCCACTGCCCCTATTGTTTCTCAGGATAAGTCAGCTGTTAACCTTGTGATTTGCTTGTTTGTGATGAGTCATTTTTCTTTTGTTCTTTTCAAGAGTCTTTATTTTTGGAAGTTTTATTACAGTATGTTTAGACTTCTTAAAAACTTATTATACATGAAGTTCATTGATCATCTTGGATGTACAGATTAATGTTTTTATCAAAATTGGGACAATTTCAGCTATTATTTTTTTCAAATATTCTTTCTTTTCCTTTTTCTTTCTCTTTCTCTTTGTCTTCTGGGACTCCAATTATGTGTACCCTTGATGGTGTCCCACAGGCCTCTTTATTCTTCATTCTTTTTTCTTCCTGTTTCTCAGACTGGACAATCCCAATTGATCTATCTTCAAGTTTATTGTCTCTTCTGTCAGTTCAGATCTTCCTCTGAGCACCACTAATACATTTTTCATTTCAGTTATATAACTTTTCAACTCCAGAATTTTTATTTGGTTCCTTATTAGACTTTCATTCTCTTTATCAATAGTCTCTATTTAGTGAGACATTGTTCTAATACATTTTTTTTGAGTTATTTGAACATATTTAAAATAGCTTATTTTAATTATTTGCCTAATGAGTCCAAAGTTCTTCCTCAGGGACAATTTCTATTAAACACTTTTTTCTTTGTATAGATCATACTTGGTCTTTTTGGTATTTTTGTTTTTTGCTTTTTCTTTTTTTTCTGCATGAGTCATAATTTTTTTGTCAAAAAAATGGCCTTTTAACTAATACAATGTGGCAACTCTGGAAATCAGATTTTCTCTCTTCTCTAGGGTTTGTTGTTATAGTTGTTGTGTTTTTTTGTTGTTGTTGTTTTAACTGGCTTTCCTCAACTAACTTCTTTGATATACATGGCCATTGAAGTCTCTGCATGGCTAACTTAATGGTCAGCTAATTATTGGATAGAGATTTCCTTAAATGCCTGGAACTAATTTGTTTTCCAGCTGTTGCCAAGGATCTCAGTGTATATGTTGGAGGGAGCCATCAACACTTAGGCAGGCAGTTTTCAGTTCTGCCTTAGTTTTCATGTTCAGCTTGTGAAAAGCCTCAAAGTCAGCCAAAGTGAGAGATTAAGGCATTTTAATGTCTTTCTGCTCAAATAAAGAATACAGCATAAATAAATGAAACATAAACAAAATCAATAGTGGAAATCAACAAAACCAAAAGGTTGTTCCTTGAAAAGTTCAAGAAAATTGGCAAACCTTTACCTCAAGTGACTAAGAAAAAGAGAAAACTCAAATTACTAAAATTAGGAATAAAAGAGGGGACATTAATACCAATTTTACAGAAATAAAAAGAATTATAAGGGAATACTATGAAAAAATGTATGCCAAAAAATTAGATGACCTAGATGAAATGGACAAATTTCCATGAAGACACAAAGTACTGAAAATGGCTCAAAAAAAATAGAAAATCCTAATAGACATGTAAAGAGATTGAATTAATAATCTAAAGTCTTATTACAAAGAAAAGCCTGGAATGATATGACTTCCTTAGTGAATTCTACCAAAAGTTTAAAGAAAAATTAACCTCAGTCCTTCAAAAACTCTTCCAAAAAATGGAAGGGGACCCCCCTCAACTCATTTTATGAGGCCAATACTACTATGACACAAAACCTAGATAAAGACATCACAAGAAAATACAAATACAGATGAATTTCTCTTATGAAAATAAACACAAAAATTCTCATCAAAATACTAGCAAGCAGGGTGCCTGGGTGGCTCAGTCGTTAAGCGTCTGCCTTTGGCTCAGGTCATGATCCTGGGGTCCTGGGATCGAGTCCCACATCGGGCTCCCTGCTCGGCAGGAAGCCTGCCTCTCCCTCTCCCACTCCCCCTGCTTGTGTTCCTGCTCTAGCTCTAGCTATCTCTCTCTCTGTCAAATAAATAAATAAAATCTTTAAAAAAAATACTAGCAAGCAAAATCTAGCAGCTTATAAAAAGGTTTAGACATCATGACAAAAGTGGAATTTATTCTAGAAACAAGGGGTTAGTTTAACATACAAAAATCAGTCAATGCAATATACTATATAATAAAGGACAAAAGCTATCAAATGATCATCTCAATAGACACAGAAAAAAAAATTGACAAAATCCAATACTCTTTCATGAAAAAAATATTCAATGAATTAGGAATAGAAAGAGACTTTCTCAACATGATATAAAGGGTGTCTAGCAAAAACCCAGCTAACATCATACTCAATGGCCTGCCAAGGAAACAGTTAAAACATCTAGTACATAGAGTGGTGAGAACTGGGACTAAGAAAAGGTTGGAGCCATAAGATATAAGGCTTTGAATGCCAGGTTGAGAAAATTAGCCTTGATTTCGTAGACAATAGTGACTTCACGAGAGGCATAGCCTGAGCAGTTGGGTGATTTCTAAAGAACATTCTGGTGGCTTCAGCTGAGAGAGGAGGCATGGAGTTCAGTGGAGGCTAGGGATGAAGGCCTGATCTGGGACCATGGCAGCTGAGATGGGTAGGAGGGGATGGATTCAAGAGATATTAAAGAGATAGAATCAATAGAATTCGGCAACTGATTAGATGTAGATTCTGAGCAAGAGTAAAGAGTCAATGACAACTCCATTTAGGAGCCTGGCTGGCTGGTAATGCCATTAACTAAAAGGTTGAATTCTTCTGGCTTCAGGAAATGGAAAAAGGCAGTATAGCATCCTCTGCATATCAATCTCTTGAGACATGAATACTATTATTCTTTTGACAGGCAAATTTATTTTCTCACGGCAAAATTCCTTCCACCTTTCCTCATTGATTTTATTTCCAACTGTTACAATCATTTTCTTTTGCTCTCTTCTGGACATGTTCTAATTTCTGTCACTTTCAGAATGCAAGATACAGAGTGGTGAGGGCGGAGTTGTTGGGTTTGGTCAGCAAACCCCAAGGTGGTGAATGAAAAGATTACTCCAGACACCTTAGTAGGAGAAAGGAGAGGGTGTGGGGACCAGATGCTCTAGTGGAGAAAGGTCCAGAGCCAAGCTCTGCCTCCACTTTTATTGTGAACATTATCAATTCATCAAAGGAATGAGAAAAACAAAAAGGAGTGTGAAGTTTTAATAATCAGGACAGTAACATAGAGGGTATACTGTGATTAGAACAAGCTATGCTTGTGACTCAAGTGCAGGCAGGGAGTACGTGACCACCAAAGATAAATGTTTCTCCTAAGCATCTACTCCCCAGATGAGTGCACTGAGCTGCAACAAGGATCCAGCTGTTTTCAACCCAGAAACTGCAAAGGAGGCCCAGTTTTCCAGACATGTCTTCTTTGCTTTTCAATTAGTCTCACCCAGGGAGGCATATATTTATTAAATCTTATCTAGCCAGGCATTATGAATTCCCACAGGATTGGAGAGAAAGAGAGCCAGAGTGAAGGAAAGAGAAAGTATGCTCAGACAGTGAGGCCACAGCATAAGGATATGGCCTGAACTTTAACCTTTAACTGAGAGAAGACAATAAGATGAAAGACCTGTGGCTATCTTACCCCATCTATACTATGGTTCTCATGTCAGAGTTTTCTCTGTTTTGATAAGGAATCAGAGGCAATAAAGTGGTTTTGGAGCCTTTAGGGTTAAGACAAGGACCTAGTAGTTTTGGGGCCTAACTCTATCTCAGTCTTATATCATCTAAGGGGATTTGGGAAATCCTTTTCCATTCCAGGTACTCTTTCCTGCTACAGATAACATTCCATTAGGTTCAACCTTATGAAATTGTTAATACTTGGCTATTTTGACTGGCACAAATAGCAATATCACATGGTTCAACTTAGTACTTTTATCTATTATAATCATGTGTTTGCTTACTTAACACGTTTCCATAGCATGTATGCATGTGCATGCACACACACACATGCACACACACACACACATACACACCCCGCTGGTAGATTGGCAGCTCCTTTACGGCTGAAACAGTTCTGAATATCTGAGAAAGAAAAGGCAGATTTGCAGTGTTTGCTGATTTTCCATGGTGGGAATTACTCTCACCATTGCCAGTTTTGTCTACCAATGTGATGTCACTGAATGTGGAGTTGAAAAGAGATGTGCACAACTGGCTCTTGAAAGCTGGTACAAGCTGGCTCTAGCAAACGCTGGCTCTAGCAAACCACTGCTTATCTCTACTTCCCCTACAGCACTAAATGCAGAATCTCAGACTAGCATGAGGGCGGTAATTCTTTGTCAATTTGAAGGTACAACCTACTTCTAAAGAGTCCAAGCTGCACAGAGAATGGCAGTAATAATGGCAACCATTTTGCCACCTACCTTTACAGTTTTCCAAATATTTTTATATCCATTTCACAGAAGTGATACAGGGCAGAAATTCATATTCTTACCTGATGGATGAAGAAGCTAAGGCTGAGAATTGAGGGGAATGCCCAAGGTCACACAGTCATCAGCAGGCCAAAAACCAGAAAGGCAGGTCTCTGATATAACTCCCAGGAGGGCAGGCAGACACCCTGGACTGGACTACTGCTGGACTCTACTCGCTGAAGCTCAGGTCCACTTTGAGCTATAGAGAAAATACTCCCTGATTCTTGAGCCAGGGGATGGAAGACTACAGACCATTTCTATCAGCCGGCCACAATTACTCTGAATTATTGTTGCTGCCATGACCATAACCAGATAAGGAGGAAGCCACATGAAGCCATCTGTACTCTGTATGGTCCTCTGCCAAGGCCAGGAACATGCTCAGCCTTGGTATTAAGAAAGAAAGAGAGAGAGAGAGAAAGAGAAAGAGAGAGAAAGGCCAACAGAGAGAAAGAGATCAAAAGATTGAGAGATTGAGAGAGAGAAACTGAGATTGATGAGCTGGGAGGATTAAAAGAGTGAATTCCTTTAAGTATGGCAATTTTTAAAAATCCTAAAACACATACACACATCAAAAATAAAACTCTAAAGTCACTGTGTCTAATAGCTGGGTTGTCACAGTGTAGAGTCTTGCTGTTGGCAAATAAAAATGGCTTTTGACAGGGACTTGGCAGACAACCAGTGCTAAAGCATTTGAGTAATACTACCACCTTGCATTTCTATAGCCTTTTATGATTTTTAAAAAGTACTCTCACATCTAGTATTTACTGAATTTTCTAGTAGGAAAAATGAAGATGGTCTCCATTGGAGCACAGGATTGGTGGGAGGGAGGCTGAGTAGGTATTACTGGTCCCAATTAGCGGGTGAGCAAATATGCTCAGGGCTGGGGACAGACCAATCCAGGTTATAAAAACTTGCCTGTTACACATTGGCTGCTCCCAGCACAGGCCTGCCCCAAGCCATTTTTTCAACTTCCAGGTGAGTAGAGTTCCTTTTCAGCCTAGCCTACCACTAAGCCTTGCCCCAGAAATGACATTATAAATACCCTAAAAATGCTTGGCTTTAAGGCTGGGCTACCCTGAAAGCATCCCTCAAGGTGGGGACCCTGAGGAAAGAATTTGATGAGTCCTCTTTTTGCAACTTGTAGGCAGATAAATCTCACTTACCAACACAAAAAGTTGCTGAAAACTCATAAAAGCCCAGCCAGACACCAAGGATGAGCCACTGTTATCTCTTTTCCACTCATTTGTTTGATCCCACTGTTCCTCACTTTCCTCGTCACTTTGCACCTGGGCTTCTCATAGCACTTTAGGCTCCTTACTTAGATGATGGTTTTACTCCTGATTATGCATCTTAGACCTTAACCTGCTTGTCCAGGTACAGACTGATACAGGTATCCTGTTTCCAGATGTTTCCAATTTCTGATAAAAGAAACACTTGCCACCCATTCTCTTTGAAGTCTCCATTCCCACTTCTTCCTGGGGTGAAACATTGGACCGCAAGCCTGGATGCTGACAGCTTTGGCTCTCCTGGAATTCTTGTGTGCAGCCACTAACAGGCAATCACATAGCTCAGTGAGAAAATCATGACGGGGCTTCCCCAGTTGCTGAGGTCCTCTACACAGGGATACCAGGTTGACTGGATTTTCTCCCACTACAGGGTCCACACCTACTAAGAATCCAAAGTGAGGCTGCCTATGTGCCAGGGATACTATCAAGGCACAATGACAGCTAAGATTGTCCATCATCTGCATGGGCCAGACACTGGACAGAGAGGCTTTATACATATCATTGCTAATTCCCACAAGGTACAAATTACTTTTTCCCATTTTACAGATGAAGATACTGAAGCTTAGAACATCTCACTTATCCAAGGTCACATAGCTGGTAGGTCTGGAGCTAAGAATAGGACCCAGATCTGTTTGACTTCAAAACTCATAATACCACTCAGCCTCTAACAGATTTCCAAGAGTAATGACAAAGGGCCTGTTAATTTGTCCAAAGTGTTCATACTTGGCAAGTTAAAATGAATGGAATTACCTGATCTATGGTGATAACTTTTTAATCTCTGTTAAAGATTTTATTCCTAAAATATTGTCAGTGTTAAGAGAATATTAGAGGACATCAAGGAAGGCAATGGCTCCACACCCCTCTGCCCAGGTTAGGCCACCCTTGAGTGATTGTGTCTTGTTCTGGGACCCACACTTGAAGAGGGCCACAAACACTGGAGTGTGACCAGGAGGGAGTGAGAAGGCTGGGGAGGGGGCTGAGACCCAGAACACAGAGGAAAGTTGGAAGGACCTGGAACTGTTTAGCCTGGAATGAGTGGACTTCGGGTGACATAAGACAGGTCATGTCATTCTCCGCTCCCATCTAACTCAGGATAAGAGCCAAAGTCTTTATGATAGTCTACAAGGCCCTTTCCCATCTCCCCAACCCCAACATTACCTCTGTGACCTCATCTCCCATGATATTCTCCTGACTAATTCCATTTTATCCACACTGGACTCCTGGCTGCTCCTGGTATACGTTATCTGCTCTTGCCTCAGGACTTTATTATCTCCTCTCTCAAATGTGACCCGTTCAGTGAGTCCTCTCTTGACCACTTTATTTTAAATTGCAACCTCCTGTCTCTCCCCCTCTATTTCTCTCTAGTGTACCTATCACCATCTGACATACTATATGTTTTGTTTATTTATTTGGTTTTTTGTCTGCCCACCCTCCTGCAAAATGGCTATGCCTCACTTTCTTGCTCACTGATGCACACTCAGCACCTAGAACAGAACCTGGAATATAGTAGATACTCAGTGTTTGCTGAACCAAAGAACACCATCTTTGCCTTCAGATCTGGAAGGGTTGTTATAGGACAGAGAGTAGAGAGCAGAAATGATCCATGTGGTTTCAAGGAACTAAGATAGGTCAATAGCAGCTTAAAGAACATCTTAGTGGATGATTACATAAAAAAGAATGAAACTGGACCACTTTTTAACACCATACATAAAAATAAACTCAAAATGGATTAAATACCTAAATGTGAGACCTGAAACCACAAAAATCCTAGAAGAGAGCATAGGCAGTAATTTCTAACACTGGCCATAGCAACCTTTCTCTAGATATATCTCTTAAGGCAAGGGAAACAAAAGCAAAACTAAACTATTGGGACTGTGTCAAAATAATAAAGAAAAAAACTTTTGCACAGAGAAAGAAACCATCAACAAAACAAAAGGCAATCAGTATACTGAATGGGAGAGGATATTTACAAATGATATATCCAATAAGGGGTTAATATCCCCAAAATATAAAGAACTTTCACAACTCAACACCAGAAAACAAGCAATCCAATTAAAAAATGGGCAGAAGAATGAATAGACTTTTTTTTTCCCCAAAGAAGACATACAGATGGCTAACAGACACATGAAAAGATGTTCGACATCACTCATCATCAGGGAATTGCAAACAAAACCACAATGAGATATCACCTCACACCTGTCATAATGGCTTAAATCAACAACACAAGAAATAACAAGTGTTGGAGAGGATATAGAGAAAAAGGAGCTCTTGTGCACTGTTGGTGGGAATATAAATTGGTACAGCCACTGTGGAAACAGTATAGAGGTTCCTCAAAAATTAAAAAAAGAGAAATCATATGATCCAGTAATTGTAGTACTAGATATTTAGCAAAAGAAAATGAAAACTCTAATTTGAGAAGTTTTATGCACCTCCATGTTTATTGCAGTATTATTTACAATAGCCAAGATAAGGAAGTAACTTATATGTCACTGATAGATAAATGGATAAAGATGCATTGTATATATATACAATGGGATATTATGCAACCACAAAAAAAGGATGAGTTCTTGCCATTTGTGACAACGTGGATGGACCTCGAGGGTATTATGTTAAGTGAAATAAGTCAGACTAAGACAAATACCATACAATTTTACTTATATGTGGAATCTAAAAAAAACAAAAACAAATTAGTTAAAAAACAAAAAACAGAATCAGACCAGTAAATATACAGAACAAACTGATGGCTGCAAGAGGGAAAATGGGTAGGAGAATGGGTAAAATGGGTGAAGAGGAGTGGGAGATAAGGCTTCCAGTTTGGAATAAATGAGGCATGGGAATAAAAGTTATAGCATAGGGAATATAGTCAATGATATTGTGATAGTGTTGTATGGCAACAAATGGTAGTTACACTTGTGGCGAGCATAGCATAACATATAAAGATGTTGAATTGCTATGTTTATACCTGAAACTAACATTGTGGGTCAACTATAATCAAATAAAGAAAAATTAATTCAAAAAAGAAGGCACATCTTGGGCATTAAAACTACCAGGAATCTATGCCCGTGGAGGTGAGTAGGAAAAGGACAGATGGTGTAGGAAGAATTAAAGCATCAAAAGCGGAAGGTTAAGAAAAGGACTGCAGCTTGAGATTCTGTTCTCCAGCCTCCTCATTTACAGATGAATAAACTGAGGCTCTGAGAAATCACCCAAATTTCCATCAGTTGCAGGCAGAGCAGGGACTAATATCATGGTGTCCTGCATTTTAGGACAGTGATTTTTTTTTCAATAAGGCTGTATTTTTGTGGCAGGGTGATTTCTAGAAATATTCACATTTGTTTGTGTTTGTTGTCCTTCTAGGTCCTTCCCCATTCCCCTGCTTCTTGGAGGTAACCAAGCCCTTGACAGACCTCTTGCAAGAGGGATTTCACAGTGCAGAAAGCAGAAGCAGCCTGAAGTGACCAAATCTATCATTCTCTTATAAAAGCCTGAAAATCCCATTTATTACATACTGTCATAAAGGAAAAGGAAGAGGCACTGGAAAGCCCAAAGAGAAAAAAAATAAGAGAGATCCTTATCTCTCCCAGCCCCACCTAGAAAGGAAGAGTTCCTGAGTCTGGGGCAGTAGGAACTCAAGCACTGCTTGAGGGCAGATCCTTAAGGATGGGGAGGAGACGGCTCTAAGATACCTAGAGGGAGGTAGAATTTAAGTCCCTAGGCTCTCAGCTTTCCCTCTCCCACTGCTGGCATGGAAAATGAGGGTGTTAGTGGTGACTGGAATAGGTTAGAGATTAGTTGCCCTTGCCCTAATTTCTGTGTACCATAGTGTCCCCTGAATTCCAGTGCCCCCCTTGAAGGGGGCCCCCAGTCATGACTGACATGGAATTTTTGCTTCTGTGTTAGGATGGGGGGCTTGAAGTCAGAATTTAGTTACAAAACAAAACAAAAAAGGACTATTTATTACATACCCACATCTGAATTTGTGGACAGAGATAGATGCCCATTCCATTTTTGTTTTCTTGAAGAACATAACATTAATTTTAATCATAGCATTTGTGGCCAGGCAGAGCATCCACTTCCTGTTAGCAATGGGTGCTGCACAGGAGCTCTGGGAAAACCTCATCAGATGCTCTATGTCCTGGGAGAACAATGTGGAAAATATGCTCAGGCATCCAGAGAAAGTGGAAAAGCAGGAAAGAAACTGAAGGAGCAGAGGAAAGCAGCCTTCAAGAGCCCATCAGACAGCAGTTATTCTCCCAGAGAATGAGACTGTTTCCCACTGTGGCTATTAAGTGATTTACAATTAAGTACCTCTTCATGAGGCGGTGCTCCAGTTGATGGTCTGAGTGGTGGGAGGCCTGTTCTCCAGGCATATAAGTGCTCATGTTTATTGACTCACTCTGCTATTCATCATGTTTCCCAGGCCACTTATTAGCAGGATTAAGTGGGCCTACCTGGCTGGGAACAATTCCCAGAGATCCAAGGCTGGGGGTGGAAGTGGGGGAAGGAAGTCCTTCCCTGGGCTGACAAGGGCCTCTGATCTGGGCTTGGGGCTGGGAGAGTGGGCTGGGCCCAGTGGAATAAGGAGGCGGCCACAGTTCCTTTTTAGTTTTAGGATGCTCTCATTTTGGGCCTGCTGCTGGGGTCATTGCTGGGATTTACTGTTAGCATCCCTAATGTGCAACTAACCAGAAGCTTCACTACTAGTATGATAGAAAAATGCAGGAGATTTGGAGTCCACTTATCTGTCTGTGTGAACTTTGGCAAGGGTCTTAACCTTTCTGAGGCTCGGTTTTCTCATCTTAAAATGTGCATAACAACGTTAACCTCGTAGAGTTAAGGTAAGGATTACACAAGATAATGTGGTTAAAGTGTCTAGTGCCTGCACATATCAATGATATTTTTCATTCAGGGCTTGAGGAATTATTAGCAGTACTCTTTCTCTTCCACCACATCTTCCACCCCTACCTGCCCACTCTCTTTCTCACTTTGACTTACAGTCAATGTTCTGTATTACCATGAGCAAGTCGTTTCACTTTTCCATGGCTCCTTTCCCACCTCTGTAAAGTGGGGATAAGATCATCTGCTCTACCCACCTGCTTCAGAGGCCTTTTAAAAGATAGTGGAGATGGAAGGAGGTTGCAGACTAGAGAGTGCTACCCTCACGTCACTTGCTTTTATTGGCCAGGTAGGGATCCCAGAAGCCATGCAGCCCAGCTAAAGTGTAGGAATTATCCAGAGAAAGAACATGGTTGGTAAGGCCCAGAGCCCAGTGAGGGTGGGGGCAGTGGGGAGCTAGCAGCTTACCCACAGCATCCTCCAAAAGATCTGTACAAAGGTATCTTATCTGTCGTGTTTACTTCTGCTCTAAACAGACACTGGGAACAAAGGCAGCCTGTTCACCAGGCACAACCCCAGTCCTTAAGCAGACCAGAGAACAGGACTGGAGCTAACCAAAGTGGTTTCCTTGGTGATCTAAGGAAAGTCTTAGGAGGTTCCCTCTACTAACATCCCCTTCCAGTATTGCAAAGGACTCCCCAGAGGGTCACAGTGAAGGCAGCCATCAGTCACAGCAGAATAGGAAGAGCTCTTACCACTCATCTTATCCAGCAGGTACAATGCACCAGTCATGTGGGATCCACACCACAGAAAAGAACTCCACCCCAGGCCAACTGAGTCAGAAAGGGGTGGGGAGTGCTGGATTTAGGCAGCTGAAAAAGTTCCAAGGGTTACTCTGTGGTAGCCCAGTCTTCTGACTTGCATATGGAAACTAGTCTAGTCAAATCTATGCCCATGCCACCCATATATTATTGATGCAGAAACTGAAACTCAGAAGAAGGGATTTTCCCAAGCCCAACTGATTAATGAGGGATGAAAATTAGGGTAGAAATCTAGGCCTCCCATACTATACAACCCCTTGAATTCCCAATGGATGTAATAAGACCTTCCTAGAAGGTCTTGCTCCAAAAGCTCTCTGAGTAACCATGACCCTCTTCCTTCCATGAGCAGTCCCTGGCAGACAATTCAACATCTATGAATTAACTCCCCTCCCAGGAGCTTCTCTCTTTTCTCTCTCATTAAATTGCTTTTATTTTGGCTTTGCTTGATTCATGCGGTGTTGGGGGCCACCAAACTTCTTTGCTAATCTGGGAAGGAACCCCAGGGAGTTTACCTATGTGTCTGTGGCAGTACTGTCTACAGTCTATAGCAGTTTCAAGCAGCTACTATTTCAGGCCTTCTGGCTTGGGCATGGCAATTGGGAAGAACTCAAGGGAGCCCACTAGCAGGTGTTAGAAGCCCTTGCTTATCAGGAGCCAAGGGTAAAACACATGTTTCCCACTCAACCCCACAGCTGAATAGGTGGAGCAGTAAGCTGCCCAGGAAGCATCTCTGCCCATAAACCTGGGTGAAGAATGCCATTCCTGCAGCTTGGCTGGAGAGTCCCACTATCAGTACTATCCTTTAGATGGAGCCATCAGTAGGAGGTCCACACCTCTGCCTCCTGGCTGGTGGGGATGTCAGCACACTTGAATGAACTGAGGCTAAGTTTAGAAGTGCTAACCAGCCCCTGGCAGTTCTCAAAATGTGAAAAGTGTGATGGAGAGTTTACCAACACTGCATCAGACAGATGCAGGGCATGACTTGGATGAAGAACTGAAGTTTCCTCTACTTTACTTTCAGCTCTGGCTTCTGTTTCCCCAGCGGGTGATCCCCAGCCCCTGCCAACCTCCTTGCTTTCTCCATTTTCCTTCAAGGGCAAACCCAACAACCATGGGTCACAGGCATGCTGCTGTGGAACAAACCACAAGAGTACACTTTTGTGACGGGGGGAGGGGTCCTTCTTGAACCCAGTTTATTAGCATTCAGCAAAAGAAATATATGTTGTAACAAATAGGCAATGCATCAAGATATCCGGTGAGAGCTAGGATTGGACAATTATGTGATGTCTCAGGGATAAGGAAGGGGAAGCTAGGGCACATCCAGGGACCACGCTCCCCATTTTACACTGGGAGAGAGAAAACTCTTACACCTGGGGTGGGTATGTACTGCAGTTACCGATTTCTTCCCTCTGTCCTCCAGCCATTTTATTTAATGAGCTAAATATACATTCTTCGTTTCTTCTCCACCCCGCCCCCATATACAGCAGGGAAAACAAGCACCAATAGTAACAAGAATAATAATTAAAGCCCCGCCTCTCAGTAGGCCCAACCCTCACACATATACATGCCATGTGGATTTTCTTCTTAGGAGTGACTGCAGGATAGAAAAGTGGGAATCAGACCAGCAAGACATTACCCTGATAGTCACTGTTCCCCCATAATACCATTCGTATGTGAACGGGAGCAGGACAAGGCAGGGGAAAGGGCGGTAGGGGGAGAGATACCCCCAAAGCAGCAAGAGGGGTCAAGGAGTTCTCCAACATCTCTTCTGGGCAAATGTCAACTGAGTTCTTGGAAAGTCCCATGCAAGGGTTTCCCCAATGAGATGGCCAATTCATGGTGGCTGAAGCATCACTATCTGTCTCTTCAGCTTCTTAGGGAAAAGGGGCATGATAGAAACTCCATGTCCTCCCCACTGGGTGGAGAATGTCCCCAAAATGCTCCTTTGGAGAAACTCAGAATGACAAATAGCACAACATGGGGACTCATTTCAAAATGAAAGCACAAAACATGAAAAGGAGGGGGGGAGGGAGAGAGGAGAGATGGGTACTTCCAGAAGGTCTACACATGGGGAAGGGGCAGGGTCCAAAAGAAAAAATAAAGCCATAAACAACATGCTATCTACCAGGTTCTCCATGCCTGAGTCACCTGGCATTTGTCATAGTACCTGGGCATCTTTTGCTGTCCCTATCATGGAGGGAGGGGATGGACAGTAAGATACATTGGGGTGAGGAGAGGGGAAAGAGTGAGGACCCTAGGTGGTTGAGATGCCAGCCCTCTGCACAAGCAGCAGCAATTTTTGTGTCATCTTTGTTTTGTTTAAAACTATAAACAGCACCACTTAAAAATAAAATATATCAGAAAAGAACAATTGATAAACATTGTTTTCCATGAATATAAAATGCAAACAATACAAAAATAGATAATTGACTTTTGATATATATATATATATATATATTAAAAACAACTTGGATGTAACATACACATGGGTAAACTTGAAGTCTCCCTGCTAAATCCCCCATGCCTCCCTCTAGCAACTGGGCCCAGGGGCCGAGGGTGGGTGGGGCGGTGGCACTGGCAAGGGTGGGAAAGTTGCTGGCAACAGGATGAGAGGAATACACCCTGGGTGTAGGAAGCTAATTCCCTGCTTGGTACAGCATTGAGGTGGAAGAGAGAATAGTGTTGACCAAAGCCTTTGGCCCAGGAGGCTTATGAACAGGTGCCCAAGCTGAGTGCCCCAAGGCAGGGCTTCCTTGAAGGTGCTAAAGCACTGAGAAACTGGTAGCCCTGAAAGAAGCCCGCTAGTTGGCCTTCTCTATCCAGTCACTGGTTCCCCACAGACCGGTCTCATCTGAGAATTCTCAGGATCAGAGCTGTCTGGCACTGAATAAGCCTGCTGGGTAGCAAGATGACAGCAGACACCCCCTTTCAAGTCATATCTTCCCTTGAAATCACATCCACAAGCATTATTCCAACACCCTGCAATGCAGACATGGTGCTCATCTGGTCACAGCCTAAGATATGTGGGCTTGACATCAATACCTTTAGTAGTCCGGGGCATATCTGGTGCCAGCCAAGCAAGCACTGGCTATCTTTGGGGAGAGGCCTGGAGATTAGTTGGCTCTCCAGTGTCAGCCTGTGCTGCCATCAACACATGTCCCCAGCTAGATCTTCCTTCCTCTTCCAGGCTGCTGGTGGGATTCGGCCATCAACTGCTTGGATATAGAGTGAGACTCAAAGGAGCCCGGCTTCTGTAGCCATTCACCCTGACTGTCCCACTTCTGGTGGTGAAGATCCTGTCCTTGGGCTGGCAAGGACATTGAAAGAACTTGCAGGCAGCAATGTTGCCCAAACCATGAGATGTTGCTCAGTTCTAGGCCTTACTCTGTATTTGACCTTCCAAAGCCCAGCAAAGTGTATTAGGATGATTGATGACTTCCCCTCAGGGGCAGCACCTCTCTTATTGCCTTCTTTTCACTGAGAGCAGCCCTCTGCCCTTGGCCAAAGGCTGACCATCTAGTTTTTCTCTTCTCAGATAGGCTGGAGGCCCAGCAGGCTCTGGAGGCTGGTGATGGCTCTACTACCTGCTGTGGCTGGCACAGTCCATATACAGATAGGAGCTTGAACTGCCCTGAAGGACAAGCAGAGAGAGAGGAGGCAAGTAGTGGGGTTTCCCCTGTTGTAAAGGCATTTGGTGTTTACTTCCTGCCAAACAGCCAGGCCTATTTCAGTCCCACCCTCCCAGGGCAGCTTTGGTAAGAGGCCAGATGGTCGGAATTTGGGCACTTCTCTCCTGGAATGCTGTGCTTGGGGTGAGGAGGGCCTTCCTCATGCTCTTTCTTTCTCCAACTCCATGACTTATGTATTTCTTCACAATGCAGACAGAATTAGCCTGGAGAGTTGGTCTGGGTCCCTTGAACAGTGGTGTTAGTGTCACACAAACTCATGTGGTACTTCCAGGGGTGAAGCTTTTATCAGACAGGTTTGCTCTTTGTGGGAAGGATCACTGCCAACCCCAATCTGAGAAATGGTGATAAAAACCAGCACAGATACATACTCTGGCCAAGAGGAAGTTTGCCATAAAGTTTGCCCCCTTGACTCAGAGAGCCAACAGCCTCTGTTCCCAAGAGCCCTGTTGACCTCTTCTCTTGACAGGCATGGAGATAAGTGGGGTAAGGGACAGGGGCAGGAAGGCAAAGTTTATAATTTGGGTCAACACACCCAGGCAAAAAATGTTCCATATTCTATTTCCAATAAAGAAATTAAAAGGAACCCTCTCTTATTGGTGATTCATGAGAGGTTGAGCCAGGTTAGATTAGCCTGTTGCAATGTCTTCCTGACAGCAACTGTTCTTCACCAGTATTTCCAAGCTAGTTTAACATGAAAACTGTGGTTGGAGAAGTGAGTGTACCATTCACTCCATAAAGGGCTGCAACTGCCATGCAATCAGAATCCTGCAGCTTGGCAGAGTGAGGGCAGGTCACAGACTGTCCTCTCAAGAAGGCTGGTCCTTTGAGGATGCTAAGGACTTGGCTAATGAGAAGATGAAAGCTCTTTAGAGAACCAGAACAGCAGCCTAGATGCCTTTGGTATCCTGTCTCTTGGGAGTGCTAGCCTGGTGTCTCTGGAGGCTCTTTACAGCATCCAAATGGAGGGGTGGGCAAGGATTAGGAACTTTTTGCTTTTGGGGAAGAAACAATTTTCTCTTCTAAGAAGCTGGGTTACTTTGAGCTATGCAATGTCTAAAATTCTCTCCTGCCATCAGGGACAAATGGAACTCTCTCCTATCCTTCCCCTGCAACCCGCAAAAACCCTGATCCCCTATAGCCAAGCCTAATTTAGGCTGCTTCTCTTCCTGTATCTCAATTAAAAGAATATGTTCCTTGTGATGAGATTGTGAAAGTTTCCTTTGGAGTAAAAGAAAAATTCAAAAGTGTCTGTAACTCAGACGTCACAAGCTTAAGAGAGGAAGAAGGAAAAAACTCTATCATTCCACAACTCAAGCCTTATGGCAGTATCTACAATAGAACTCTATTTTGTCTTCTGTTTGCAACTGAATGAATTTGATCATGCCATTAAGGGGACAGCATTTTTGTCTTTAACCCAAGCTATGGCAGACCAGGTTAAAGGGCCCCCATCTGGTTACAATGCCAAAGTCCACAGCAATAGGCAGTGAGACACAAGCTACTTGATCCTAAGGACAGTTAGCTGGGGTGAATGGATTATAATCATCTGATGTAATGGTGACAGCTATGCCAAGACTGAAGGGAGTGGGGATGGGGAGGATCTGTACCATTATTTCACATTGTTAACAGCAAACAAGCCCCCTGTCCTCAAGTGGGAAGCAGTGCAGACCTGGCTGTTCATCAGTGGTTCATTATTCACTGTGTGTAGGGGTGTGGCAGGGGTACTAAGGGTTCAGCCTGTGTCAAGGAGGCATGCTATATATATAATCACTAACTGGGGAACTGGAATAGGCACAAAAGTACAGCATCCCAAACCCTGTGTGGGTAACAAGAAAACCCAAAAGTAAAAGCTGGAGCAACAGAGCAGCAGCAGCCTCCTGGGGCAGATGTACTCAAGCCGAATGTGACCACAGATTAGCAGAAGAGGGAAGTGGGAAAACAAAGGCAAAAACTCATAGGATCTTTCCTTGGCCAAAAGGATTTTCAAGTTAAATAGCAACCCCCATCCCCCCACCCCTCTGCCCAACCCCTGATCCCCATTCACATGCTCAGGCCCCATGCCCCTACTCCAGCATAGATGACTACTCAGCTAGCTTTCCATTCACAGCAGTGGAGGAGTAGCTGGTGGGGAGGGGGAGAGAGGCACCTTGCTCAGCCATCTCCTTTGACAGGTCAAGGCTGGAAGCCCTGTAGTGAATGGGTTGAGGCTGCTGGGGATCAGGCTGGACCCTGGGCAGCTGAGGGATGCCATGAGTGATGCCCACAGGCTTGGCCTGGGACAGAGGACTGGGGCTGAAGCCTCCAGAACTGGAGGAGCAACTGGGCTCATCAACAGGCAGCAGCATATCTTGAGGCCTGGCCCTCACACTCTGAGAAGCCTGTGGCTGCAAGTTATAACAAGGGACCATGGGCAGGGGTAGGTGTGAAGGCCGAGATAACTGAGGCCTGGATATCCCAGGTACCCTTGGCTCTGGACCTGGTACTGACAGCAACATTGACATGGCCACAGGAGGTATGCAACAGGCTGTCTGCCCATATGGAGACTGGCCAGAAGACCAATCCAACTGGCTGGGACTTATCCAGGCAGGGCCTGGCCCCACTGAAAGAGGACAGGGAGCCCAGGCAGGCCAGTCATAGGCCCCTGGTGGTTCAGTATAAAGGGACAAAGGACTGTCTCGGCCCCATTCTTCCTCCTCCTCTTCTTCATTTGAATCTTCCTGCTGAGCCTGAAGCTCATCAGACACTGTGTATTCCTGGGCAAGGTGGGAATTGGAGAGCTCCAGTTCCAAGGTTTCCGCAGTGTCCAGGGAGCGACTCCTCCTGTTGAGGGCCATAGCAGCAGGTGGAGGCCGAGGGTGCATGCCAGGCAGTCCCAAGTAGCGAGGGAGACTGCTCACACCCCAGGGCAGACCTTGGTAGAATCGACTGTGGTAGTTGTTGAATGTGTGTTTCTGGTAGTAGCCCAGCTCAAAAGCTTCCAAGGAGGCTGCAAGGTCTTCATCATTGTGGAACTCAGGATTCTCTTCACACTTGCCTTCCCCATCCCGTTCCACATCAGCGATATCAAAAGTCACCATAGGGGGCAGTTCAGGGAGGTTTTGAGTGAAGGATGAGTCAGAGTCAGAGCTGCAGGACATGCTGGAGAAGAGGTTCCCACTGCTGGTGAACTCCACAAGGGCCTGTGAGAAACTCACAGTGGCATTCCCTTCCTTCTCAACCTCCTCTTCCTCTGGCTCCTCAGGTGGTGAATAAGTAGGGTAGGCCCTCCTGGGAGATCCTCCAAAGTTTGCTTCTTGCATGTCTGGCTCAAACATAGCATCACTTTGGAAGAGCTGCATCAGACAGGTACTTTGATCCTTCTTGGAGCAGATTCCCTCAAAACGCTTCTCCAGAGGACGGAAGTCCCTCCAGTCTGGCTCACTGCTTGCAGTGGCAGGGAAAGCTGAGGTGGTTCCCCGGTGGGAAGTCTGAGAGGCCCCTGATACCCCTGCTACCAGGCCCATCACTGATGGGCCTAAGGGCCTCATCTGATATTCCATGATGGGCTTCTCTTGCCAGGTCTGAACCTCTCGGACTTGAGCCTCTTGAGCATGGTCCTCTCGGGCCTGGGCTTCCCTGGCATAGGCCTCTCGGACTTGGGCCTCTCTGACATGAACTTCTCGGGCATGGGTCTCCCTGGCATGAGTTTCTTGGGTATAGGCCTCCCTGGTGTGAGTTTCTCGGGCACGTGCCTCCTGCGCCTCTCGGGCCTCAAGCTGCTCTCGCCGAAGTTCCCAATACAACAACTGTTTCTGGATGGTCACTAGCCGTTCTTCCTCTGTCTCCATTGCCCCAGGTGGCCGAGAGGAAGAAAAGGGGTCAAAGTTCAAGAAGGGATCAAATATCTCAGAGTTGTGACCATGGAGGTCATAAAGACAGTCATCTACAGGTGGGGAGGTCTCAAGACTATCATCTGGCTCATAGAACTCATACAGGGCATCTCCACTGTAGCTGTCTCGGGGCAGGCACTCCCTGCGGACAAGCCCCAAGGCTTCACCTGAATCATCCTCAAATCCAGGTGTTGTAGAATCATAATAACCCTCATCACTATTGGGGGCAGACTCTTGCTGGTCACTCTGAGGAGTCAAAAGGTCCCCAGGGGCTAAGCCAGGATAAGATCGAACTGAGTCAAGAAGCATGTAGCCATGGTGGCCTGGAGATGTGATGGGATGGTAGCCCAAATTCAGATTGGACCTTGGGTACATCTGGGCACTTGCCCACAGATATTCTAAGTCATATTCTTCTTCCTCCTTGACATCCTCTTCTTCCTCCTCTAATTCCACCTCCTCCTCCTCCTCTTCCTCATCATCATCATCTGGCAAAGCCATCTCCTCCCCACCTCCTTGGTAGGTCACCAGGCAGGAACTTCGCTTGGTCCCATCTCGATTGGCCCTCTGGCCTCCAGAGGCCATGCTGTCTGTCATACTGTCCATGTCCTGCTCTGCTATAATGTCACCACAACCTGTCAGTGAGTCAAAACTTTTCAGGGATGTGACATCCCCAAACAAGAGGCTTAGCTGGTCCCCAACAGGGCCATTTGGTGGATTTACCTCTTCTGCCACCACCTTCTCCCCTGTTTCTGGACTGTGGGGGTCCTCTGGGCCACTGGCTTCAGAGGCAGGCTTGGGCTGCAGAATTGCTGAGGCATAGGCCTCCTTGGGTTTTTCTGGATCTTTACAGGCTGTCTTCTCAGTGACTACTGGAGAAGGCTCTGGTACTAAAGAAACTTTTGGCCTAGGAGCATCTTGGGGTTTGGCATTTTCTTTTCTGGGGGCTTGGAGGATATCCTCAGTATGGGGCAGAATGGCTGAGCTCACATATTCATGAGGCCTGGCTCTGGTCCCTTCAGGTCCCTTGGGCCCTAGCTCACTTTGTTCAACCCCAGAGACCTTGCTTTTCCGGTGACGGCGGATACTGCTGAAAAAACCTTTCAGGCCTTTCTTTGGCTTGGGCACAGAGGGAGCCTTCTCAGCCCCAGCTTTCTCTGTGGCTCCAGACGCAGATGTCTTGCATCTGGAGCCGGTCTCCAAAACCCCATGGGCACTCTGGGAACTGGGAAGTTGGCAGGGTGATTCAGGCAAGAGTAAGGCAAAGCTGGTTCCTTCACTGACAATGTCTTCAGGGCCACAGGCTGCTTCAGTCAGGCCATCGTGGGTCTTGCTCTTGCTAAGACCCTTCTTGGAGATGCTTTTCCCAGAACTTTTGCTTCGGCCCCCTCCAAAGAAACTAGGCAGGGTACAGATGCCCTTCTTGCCACCAAAAAGTTTCATGGCAGTTTTCCTCAGCCTACCTGGGCCAGATGAGGGTGGCTCTGACACTGGCCCTTCTGTTATCTCAGCTGCCTTGTTCTTGGCTCCTTTCTCTGCCCCTTGGTCCTGGGTGTCCATAGAGGCTACTGCTCCCTTGGCCTGAGAAGCTTCATCCTTTCCACTCTCCATAGTGATGGGGACAACTCAGGTATGTTCAGCTGAAAAAGCAGCCTTCTGGCTTCCAAGCACTGTTATAACATCATCAGTCAGGAAGCATCCCAGTTGGGTCTAGAGGAGATGAGAGAAACAAAGATAGAGCATACTGATAAGCAAGAAGCCAGGCTGGGTTTGTTTTCACAGGTGTCTGTTATTTCAGGCTTGAGTGGAACCAGAAAGAAAGTAAAAGAAAATGTAGGGAAAACCTTAATGCATTCCATATGGTTGGCTTGCTGGGCCAGTCTCCTCTGGGCCCCAAGGCAACAAAACCCTACATTGAACAATAGACAGCCATCACCCCAGCCCCTCATTGGGTTCACTCCCTTCAGTAGCACACCCTAGGTCAGAACACTGGGCAGGGGGAACTGCAGATGTGGGAAATGCCCAGTTGTGCTACTGACTACAGGAGGAATTATCAAAGTGGTTAAGGTAGGGGGAGGCAAGAAAGGCAGCAGGGAGGTCAGCTCCGATGACACAGAATTTCTGAAAATCATCTGGCAAAACAGCCCACTGAGTCCTCACTGGGCTCTGCAAGATCCAAGCCTCAATTTCAAATTAGTCTGGGTTCTCACTGACATTTTTCCTGGGGCTAGAAAGAAAAGTAGATCCGAAGTTTCATCTCTTCCCCACAGGCTCCCTAGATTGCCTATCTGCACATGCTCAGACCTTCAGAAGCCCAGAATAGGAGCCTCACAGATCCACATTGCAAAGCTGCAATCCAGGATCTGCTAAAAGCACATGGTGGCCTTGGGGCAAGGCACTCTCTAGACTTCAGTATCCTTGGTCCAAGAGGCCTAGCAATACTTCCCCCTCTAGTGGTTATGTGAGGGGTAGGTCTAGGTCAGACTCTTGACTGTTTTGCTGGGAAAATTTTTTAATGTGGCTCTTGGCAACTGGAACCCCCATGTTCCACTTTAGAACTGTGAGGCAAACTATTTCTTCTCATTATTTTGGCCCCCATCTAGCTCCCTATCTAGAAAGAGAGCTCCCTGAAGGCATAACTCCACATGATTCATGTTCCTGGCCTAGAAGTTAGGCTCTCAACAGCTATTAAATTATAAACCTGGTACAAAGCACACCCTTCTGGTTTAGGCTTCCAATCCTCCAAACATCCAAATGCTACAGAGATGGAATAAAAATGACTATCCATCACCCACCCCAACACATGTCCTCCACCCCAAGTCTGATATATTCATTCTAGTGACTCCAGTTGGTTGACAGATGGATCAGTGACCAGCCTGCTAAAACCTGATGACCTATCCCTGGAAAGTTCCTCACCACTGTGGCCCCTCTCTGTAGGGTAGCCACCAGCAGACAGGGAGCTAGGGTACAGAAAGGAGGAAAAACAACTGCTGGGAGCCAGAAAGAGACAGACAAACCCTGCTGGTGTCCCTGGAGTAGTTTGCCAGCACATCAACCCTATAATTGGTTACAATAGTAATAAGACACATATTCACTCGCAGTGGAAGATTATGGACCAGTACTGGGGGTGGAGAGAGACTGGCAGCTAACTAGCCCCTGACCTAATTGGAGGAACCTTCCTGGAGCCCCTGATCCTGCTCTGCAAACATTAATTTTGTGCCTTGTGCCTTGCTTGGCTTGACACTTGAATCATCAGTGTGACCAGGCTTCCATCAGGAGCACTCTGCATAACTGAATATTAAACTTGGAGCAAGATAATGGCTGGTTATCCAGAAAATAAAAGAGAAAAGATATCATCTGATCCCTTCTCTGCAGAGATATGTAATGTCATTTGCTCAGGCTAGGTTTTTCTTTTTTTTCTGGATGACATATTTTTACATGATATTTTTCCAACTCAGCTCCCCCTCCCCCACAAGAGTTATCCCTACAGTAAACAGTGCCACCACCACCCTGAAATACACAATCATGCACACACACATAACCACTCAGAGTCCTCTCCTCGGGATCAGATGGGAATAGGGGCCCTATCATCTATCTGAATTCCCCACTTTTCAAAACAGAGATGTTTTCATTTCAACCCTGAAAATATTGACAGTGTTGTCATTTATGGTGCTAGACATGGGAGAGATGGGATAGCAGTAGTGGAGTTGTTTATGAAATTATATTCCCCTCTGTGGAATTTATGAAACAAACCTCTCCTGAACATTTGGTAAGTGATGGACATTAAACTCAGTTCTACAAGGTAGGCCAAGAAGGGGGAACCCCAGCTAGTGCTTTTGGGGGAGTGCCTAGCCTAATAGGGAGAGGATCCTATATATAGGACACATCATAATACAAGTCTTAAAGAGGAGCCCCCATCTTAAGATGCATGGTGGAGTATCATTCTTCATACCTTGTTATCATATCCCAGGATAAATCTGAAAAGCAGAAAGACACCCCCTAGGTTCAGAAAAGCTGCCTTGAGGAGAAGGCATTCAATCTGGGCCTTGTCAGACAGGAGTTAGTAGAAATGGCAATGATTTAGGGGAAGGGATGAGTGAGACTAGTAAGTATGGCTGGGCATCAGGAAGACCAAGGGCCAAGTGAAAAACCTCATGGGCCTAAACATCCTTGTGGATAGAAGGCTGAATTCCCCTGCTGGGTTTGGGGATGGAGTTCCTATGAACAGAGGGATTAGGCAAATTGAATCTTAGGGTTGCTTTCCAGAACCTTGATACCCTGGCTGGAAGGCAGTTCCTATGGGCCTTCTCTTTCCCTTGCTCCTGTGCTCCACTGGGGTAAAAGCCAGCCCACTACTTTCTACATTGTCCCCCTCCCTGCCACAGGAATCTGAAGTGTGTTGTGGAAGGAGCCGTGAGCTGCAGGGTTGGGTTCTAGGCCATGCTAGGGGACCCTGAACAAGCCAAGGCACCCTTCTTAGGCTTGAGCACTTATGAAATGGAGATCACTAGAGTGGTGTGAGAATTAGATGAGATAATGGACACCAAACACACTTTGTAAACTGTAAAGTGCAGTGCAAATGAGAAAGATTAACATTACTGTTATTCTTAGCACCTTCCAAGTCAAATCCCAGTTTCTTAGGCAGTAGCAGACCATGTGTAAAAGGCCACTTATTTGGGAAAGGCATTCACTGTGGGGAGCCCAAGGGACCAGCTGCCTTGGCCATGCTGAGGAAAAGCCAGGTGTGAGGGGATTTTAAAAGCAAGAGTGTGGGGCGCCTGGGTGGCTCAGTTGGTTAAGCGACTGCCTTCAGCTCAGGTCATGATCCTGGAGTCCCTGGATTGAGTCCCGCATCGGGCTCCCTGCTTGGCAGGGAGTCTGCTTCTCCCTCTGACTCTCCCCCCTCTCATGTGCTCTCTCTCATTCTCTCTCTCTCAAATAAATAAATAAAATATTTAAAAAAAAAAAAAAAGCAAGAGTGTGAATTTATACAAAGTCTTCTGCTTAAGGGCAGTTTTAAAAGTGTGTGTGTGGTGAGAGTGGGTGAACTAGGCAGGGGTATCTCTGGGACTGGCATTCTCTTCCCACAACTTCAGGCCCTCCTCCTAACTAGGACCAGGGTCACCTTTGCTGGCAAAGACCAGCCTTTAAACTGTGCTGTCTCCCATTTCCCTACCTTGTCCTTCCCAGGGCCATGTACCTCCCCACAGCCACCCATAATGTCTATTATGTCTCCCAAGACAGTAGAACAGGAGGTGGCAGGGTCACCCACAGCTGGTATCCCTCTAGCCCAGCCCTACCTAGCTACCTCTGGCCCAGATCCCTTCTCCATGCTCCTTGCTACCCTACCTGGTCCCAGTGCTATCCTTCCCCAATGGGCTATGTGCCTTCATTTGGGAACACAGAATTGACTGGCCAGGAGAGTGAAGTGGGGCAGAAGGCAAAGGGGACTGCAAGGGACAGACTCTGCAACATTTTCAGGTTGGAGCTGAGTCCCCTCATGGTTCCTGCCAAGAAAGTGGTCCTGCCAAATGCAGGGCCCCTCAACGCTTGGGTTTCTTAACGTGTGGCTAAGTTTCTGGTGGCCTGGTGGGTAAGGGAACACTCTAAAGCTACTCTGGGGTCCCTGGCAGGGGCAGTTTGTTGCAGCTGCTGCTATCATGGCAGGGAGTGGGATGTGGCCATCTCTGCTCCCAGGACCAGCCTCAGGCCATGCTGGGACCAGTGGAAGGCTGGCTACTAGGGCAGAGCTTTTGTTTTCCTCCCTTCCTCTCAAAACACAAGCAGGAGACGAGCCACAAACTTGCCCCAGGAACCCTTCTTAGTGAGGAGGAAACAGCTGCAGCCTGAGCCTTACATATTTTGCTCCCAGCTCAGCTTCCTGGGGCCAGTTCAGCCAACTTAGAGTTCAGGGAAGAAGTGTGCGGATTTATGCAGTAGCTCCAGAGGCATCACCTCAACCAGGCATAGTTCCCTAGACCTCCACCAAGCAGTCTTCCTGGGGACAAGCCTACTCTGGGCCCATCTTGCCCTTGTGTATGAGGGCATGGTAACTAAGGAAGCACCAGTGAGGACAGAGAGCCCTCCCCCCAACAAGAGGCACTCAGTTCTGCACTATAATCAGTTCTGCCTACCTGGGGGAAATCTAGCAAGTTCTTTCAGTTTCCTCAACTGGAAAATAAGCGTATTGAGAGTACCTACCTCTTAAAACTATTGTAAGGAACAAAACCAATGTATATATGTATACCAAATAAAATTCAGTATATAGCAGAGGCTCAAAAACATAGCAACTAATTTTTAAAAATATTTTCTTCAAACTATAGTTGGACAATTTCCAGCAACAAAACTCCTTGGTTTGTGTAAGTCACCAAAACTCCTTGGGCCTCAGTTGCCCCAAATGGTAAATGACGGTGACTATGTTGGTATCTCACAGGAGGCTTTAGCTGCTCTTTTAGCCACCTTTCATATTCAGGGACCTAAAATGTTGCCTCCAGTCAGCTAGTGGCTAGCAGCTCTGGATTAACTGGGTAATTTCAACTAGCCATGTTCTGTAGTCTAGGCCAGAAAGGTCAACAATTCAAATTTACCTAAATGTACCAACATCAAAGGAAATGCAAGTCAATAGACACCCTTCACCCAATGGGGCACTTACCAGTTTACAAAACACTCCCCACTCCCTCACCTCCCATTTGCCATTCCCAGCAATCCAT